AGGGCTTGTTTTAGTAGCCTAACATGCCCTCTTGAGTATAGAAAAGGTGGTTTGGCATTTGAATCAACGAATTGGATTTCTGGGACGCTTTAAAAAGCGTGCATGGCACGTTTCCGGCCGGTTTCAGCGACTGGGCGTGGTCATTGTGCCTCGGCACTCGGCGTCGCAGCGCCGGCTCGCCCAACGTGCGCACACACGCACACCACCGCGTCGGCTCCGCATCGCCATTGCCTCGCCTAGTCACGTGTTGCACAAGTAGAGCACGCACACTCCCGCGCCGTGCACCGCCGCGCTCGGTGGGCCCAATGCCCTGGATGGGTCACTGTCGCTGCCTTGTGTTGCGTCGCGTTCGCCTATGCCGCTGCGCCACCACCGTCCCATCACCGTGCTGCGCCACGCTGTCATCGTTGCGCCACAGCACGCTGCTGTCGCGTCCGCCTGCGCTTCTACGTTGTTGCCGTCTCGACTTCGTGCACGTGACCTGTTGAGGCCACTCGCTTGTCGTTCGCCATTCATGGCACCATGGCTGTGCTGCTACGCTGCCACCACCCGCACGTGGGTACGCCCCCCCCTAACTGCGTTGGCTCACAGTGCTTGCTCATGTGCGGCCGCCACATCCCTCCAAAGCTTGGACAAGCAACCGAACCCATCCTCTTATTTTCCCCTTCCTCCTCTGTTGCCCAGGCCAGCTAGGCCACGCCTTCAATCCAGCATGGATAGGTCATGTCCATTTCAATTCGGTGCGCCCCCACCTCCGTCTTCGAACCTGCTAGCCAACCGACCCCGCACCATGTCCAATCACGCCTTGGCAAGCTCCAATTTGGAGCCGGACTTCCGCCATTGCGCCATTAAAGGCTAAGCTGTTGTTGCCATGGGCATTACCCGTTGGGTCATCCCGAGCCAAATTGGTTGCTCCCCTAGCCCCGCCTCGTAGTCCTTCACCCCATGTGCACCCCACTTGCACTACTACTGCCTTCCCGGCGTCGCTGACACGGTCGTACCACCGCAGTCCGTCGTAGAGCTTGCCGTGTGTGCGTGGCCGGACGCACCCAGCCCGTCCCCAATCAAGCCACCGCCACAGGTAGCTTCGGGGTGAGTTGCTGATGCCCATCCTTTGGTCCATTCACTTCATTTGTGCCTTGGCTCACGGGAACATGTCTGCCACCGTGGAGGGAGCTCTTGACCGCGTCTTCGTTCATCGCTTCACCGCCCACTGCTTCGCGTCTGCATCTAGGTGAGCATCGGCTCCTTAGGGGGGCGAGGAAGGGCCCGGTAGGCCAGCGTGATCGCCCAGTGTCGTCGCCGCCACGTCGGTGCGCGCGCGGGTGCCCGGGGACCTGGCCGTTGTGAAGATGGATTGTTCCGAGGGCTAGATTGCTTAAGTCTAGTCTATAGAAATAGTGATGTGGACTGCGGATTGATTCGGTATTAGCGCGGGGATGTTTTCGCAAATGTGCCAAAGCGCGTGGGCCGTTGCCGCACGGTTGGGCCACGTCGGTGGGTCGCGTGTGCGGGCACTGCGCGTGTGTGGGTCGCGCCGCGTGATAGTGGGCCACGCGGGTTGAATTCAGTCTTTCTTTTTCTAAGGAATTAGTAAATGCTTTTCTAATTTAGTTTTGAGCCGATCTTTGGAAAATTATAATAAATTCTGTAGGTGTCCAAAAATAGTGAAACAAAATTTGTTAGGTTCACAAAAATGTGATCTATCTGTTGGTGTAGTTAGTTTACAGTTATCTGTGATAATGATAGATTCATTAAATCATTTAGGAAAGCTTAACATTATTTAGCTTAATATTTGTAGGAATTTTTGTGGCAAATTGGTAATAGCTTTGACCATAAAATTTTTATAGTCGGTTCATTGTATTATTATGTGCTCACTGTAATTTTTGTAGCCTTAGAAGAGGTTGATAAATAGGGTAGCTAGTATTCTTTGTTTTATCATATATATAGTAAATCGATGTTAAGAATAGGGATGCCGTTAGTTGCTAAGATAATACATGCAATATTTCATACTTGTGTAGTGGTAATAATAGGTAACTTAGCGTCTTAGTCGGTAGAGCTAGATTAGTAGCTTGATAGATGTATTCTTATTTTAAGAGTTGTTGTTGTCGTATTACTAAGTATTGCATCATTATTTTATGCATGTAGATAACGAGTTGGTAGAGTTCGTGCCTACGGGTGAGCAGGAGTATGAGGAGGAGATTCTCGTACAGGAGGGAGCCCCGGAGCCATCAGTTGCTGACTTTGTTGACACCCCGCCTGCCCAAGACAAGCCCCGATGCATAACCCTTATTTTTGAATGATCACAAGATATATATATATATGATATGCATTTACGTTATAGGCATTTTATGTAAACTATATGTATAGATATACCTACCTATGAGTCCTACTAGCATAGGTTGAGTAGTTGCTATGCTCAGGATTTCGATGGCGTGAGTAACCTGCCGTTACTCACATAGGTGATTATTATTATCACTCATGATAAAAATGGTGGAAAGAAAAAATAGAGATCGGGCAGGGTTATGGTATAGGTATTGATGGATGTAAGAGGTTGTGTCCTGCGGCCAACGGGGCATAGCTTGGTTACACTGTTTCCCTATCTGTGTCGGTTAAGGACCGACCGTTGCATTGAGTTCTAGGCAAGTCACCAACTTATTATCCTGAACACATATGTGTGTATGGGTGCAGGAAAGACTTGTTGCTCTCTTGTCATAGGTTCTAGATCTTTCCGGACCGACTGATTGGAGATGGGGATGGAGGAGGTCTAAGCACCGCACTGAGTCCGGGACTCAGGAGCGGAGGCTTGGAGTCTAAGTTTGGAAGGGGACCTGGACCCCATGATAGGAGAGTGGCGGGTTGGTCCTGCTTGTGCCTGGGGTACAAGCGGGGCGTGTATTTTGGGATACCCAGCTGGGCACATTGATTCACGAATCGCCGGTGATCCGGTACGGCTTGTCTACAGTCTAGCACCGTAGTAAGAACTGAAAGATGAAAGGTGGTAAAATAGAAATGTTTGCTCAACTCTTGCTTGAAAGTAGAACATGTGCTTACATAGAATGGCTAGATAAGGAAATAATCATGACTGTTAATAATAAACATACATAAGGATGCACTATTAGTATTGCTTTCTGTAAAAAGGAAATCCAATAAACCATAAAGCTTATCATATCCCTTGGAGTCAGGAAATTATTTTCACTAGTCGGATAAGTCTTGTGAGTACATTGTGTACTCAGGGTTTATTTACCCCTGTTGTAGGTGCAGCTTGAGGAGTAGCCGTTGTGTGAAGGATTCTTCTGATGGGCACAGACAAATCCTTGTATATTATCGATAGATGTTTCTTTTCATTCCGCTATTTAATTTCCGCACTTTGAATTTGGTCCTGTAATAATATATTTCTAAGAACTTTGGATGTATGAAATGGACTAAGTAATGTAAACTTGTTCTTATTATTGGATCCTGAAGGAAAAATGTGGATTATTCGGGCTCTTCCTTGGGGTGTGCTCGACGGAATCCGCCCGATGTAGCTCGCTCTCGGGGTGCTTAGTGTCTAGTGGAAGACAAGCGCCTCCGTAAGTACGTTATTTCAGACGGTTCTGCCACATCAGATAAGGTGGAGAGAGAAGATGAAGAAAAGGAAAACAAAGATAAATATATTATGTATCACACTATTTTCAACAACCAGGAGAATCCGTTTCACCAATCGTTTAACAAAAACCATTTTATTAGAGAAGCAAAGTAGGAGCTATTTTGGCTCGTGCTGGAGCTCTACCAAATAGTCTCTTACTAAAAAAAGACCTAGGATACGAGATAAGAGATATGTTCTCAACTAGATGTAGATATTGGGTACCCGATACCTAAACTAGTATAAATTTGTGACCTATGTGCTATCCACCTGATTCCCAGTGCGTGATACGCTGATTTGTATTGCTGGAGCCGAAACCTCTAACAACCCCCGACTAAGCTCCACCACTCGGCTCCGATGGCGCCACGCCTCCTCCACTGTCTTCTATGACCGTCGTCACGTTAACACGAGAGAGGTTGACATGCTATCATCGCCATGTCCCCGTCCTTGTCCCGTCCAACGACCTTCTTCCAGTTCCCGGACGCCGGCGTCACCACCGCCTCGCTCCACGTTGACCCCGCGCCTGCCACCGCCCTCGGCAATCCTTCTAAGCCTGTCGGATTCACGTAATCCCCGCACCCGGAATTATAACCTAACCTTTCCGGAGTTGAGGAAGAAGACCATGTGGTATTTTTTGATGGGGCAGAAAAATCGAGTGAGAGGACTTGTAAAGTTTAGGTTTATACTGTAAAAAAAAAGAATGCTACTATTACACCATATACAGACTTGCGATTACAACAGCATATGAAAGGTGAAATCTTACTGAAGAAAAAGAAAACCTCTAGGCTTTCAGACGTTTTTGAATGCATAGATAGATTGCATTGATTCAGGTCGTTTAAGGCAGAAAACCAAATGTTAAATGAATTAGAGGCCTCTGTTACTGTTAGCGTAATAATCTGTATACTTCATGTGAACAATGTACATTGGACATCAAGACTAGTATGTTACGTAGGAGTATAATACAGGGACTAGTGGAACTTTTGAGGGATGCTAAGACCTTGTTTAGTTTCTCCACCAAAAGTTTACACTATATCTCATCGAACGTTTGATACATATATGGAGTATTAAATATAGACTTAAAAATAACTAATTATACAGATTGCGACTACTTTGCGAGACGAATCTTTTAAGCCTAATTAGTCCATGATTTGACAACAAAGTGCTATAGTACACACATGTGCTAATAATAGATTAATTAGGCTTAATAAGTTCGTCCCGCGGTTTAATGTGTGACATCTCTTTTACCCCCGACGTGACACCCCATAACTTTTAAACTAAATGAGACCTAAGGTGATTTTTTTTTGCCTATTTTATAATCTATCATATCATATTCAGATACGGTGATGATCTTTGGCAGTAGCAATCTTGTTCATCATCAAGGTTTTTGCTTGACGGCATGCGCGTGGAAGGGCTTGTGATCGTCCATCCTGGCCTCCATCAGCTTCTCCTTGAGGCTCTGCTTCTGCTTGCCTCCCCCACCCCCTCCCCGCTGCGGCGGCAGTGGCAATCCGGAGCCGCTTGACGAGCTGCACTGCTCGCCTGGAACGGCTGGAGGAAGAGGAGGCGGCGGCCCTTCCGCGGTCACGCTCGACCTCCTCCTGTCCGAATAAGACGGCGACCAGCCGCCACCGTCGGCAGCTGTCCTCCCGGTCTTCTTCCTGCTCTCGGTGATGGCCGACCTCCAGAGCCTGCGTATGAGCGCGGTGTTTTTAGTCGAACGCCGGCTGGCGCCCGACGAACGAGCCTCCGTCGTCACCCCACTGCCGACGCCGTTGCCATTGGCCACCGAAGCTGAGCGGTCGCTGGTGCCGACCCAGCTGCGGGAATCCATTTCCAGGTCGGCCGAGCTGCCGCCGTCGGCGTACATGTCGTCGTCGTCGTCGTCGGCCTTGGCCAAGAAGAGGTCGGTGGCGGGGCTGACGGACTGCAACATGTCGTTGGATTTGGACGACGCGGGGCTCGCCGGGCTGCTGCTGTACCTGCGCCCGTCGCCGTCCCTTTCCCTTTCCGCAGCGGCATGACGGTGCCTTTCCCTTTCCTTGCGTCGGAAGTGGTCCAGCACCGAGTCCGCATCCACCGAGTCCACCGGATGATGATGGTGGTGGTGGTTGTCCCCGCTCTGCCTCGACCTCACCACAGAGGAGCTCGTGGCGGCGGCGGCGTCGCTGATGAGTCGCGCCTCCCGCAGCGCGGCGGAGTGGGAGGCGGACTCGTCGTCCTTGCTGCGGAGGAAGGCCTCCATCTCCGCCTGCAGGCGGTTCAGGTGCGTGTACTTGTTCTCCAGCGCGAGCTTGGCGTCGGAGAGCTTCATCTGGACGCGCTCCTCCCGCCACACCTCGGCCATCTGCAGCATCCGTCGCTCCTCCTCCATCTCCTCCCGCATGCGCAGGCACTCCCGGCGGAGCAGCTCCACCTCGGCCTGGTCCTCCTCCACCTCCCGGGTGAGCTCGGAGCAGGCGTCCTCCATCAGCTCCCGCGCCTTGCGCTCCATCTCGTAGCTCTGCGCCTGCTGCTTCGCCGCCGCCCGCGCCTCCGCCAGGTCGCGCAGCAGCCTGGCGTTGGCCTGCTCCAGCTGCCGCCGGTGCCTCCGCTCCGCGCCGAGCTCGTCCCGCAGGGCGGCCACTGCGTGGCGGGCCGTGTCCCGGACCCGGGCCTTCCACGCCGCCTTCTCCTCGGCCAGCTTCCGCAGGAACCGCTCCAGCCGCTTGGTCATGACGCGCCGCTCGTCCTCCAGCTCCCTGACGTGGCCTCGCGCCTTCTCCAGCCCAGCCTCCATCAGTAGCAGCAGAGGGGAGGTCGACGGCGAGGCGAAGAAGATGTCGTCCAGCTGGAGTCCCCTTCTTCCCCTCGAATGCAAATGGTTGGCGTCCCATTTGGTGGCCTTCTCCATGGACGACGAGCCGTATGCGGCTGGACACTCCACGCACGCGTCGATCTGATGCGATGCAGTCAATGAGGTGATCTGCTCCATGATGAATGGAAGATGGTGAGGATTGTTACCTTGTCTAAGATGCTGCCGTTCCTACATCGGCAATGGGTTTCGGCAGCGAGATGATCTGCTCGCCTTTTGTTGCCATAGCAGAGGTGGCTTGCTGGCCTCCTCCGGCTCCGTCCCTTGTTGAGCTTTTGCTGGCAACAGACAGACAATGAGACAAGCATGGCAAAAATCAGTCTTGATTCATCTTCCAAAAACAGAAATGCCATCCCCAAAAGGCATTATGCATACATTTTGGGTTAATCGAATGGAGTGTCATGGGGATCGGTATTGGGCAGGTACAAACAAAAACAGAGCAGGATACAGAGTGCTCTGCTTCAAATGGAATACTTACTAGTCATCTGCAGCAATCTTTTTGTTTTCCGCATTAATCAAATCCTGGATGCTATGCTAACAGATGTGCCGAACATGCGTGCCTAATGATCCAACCCCCAGAAAGGAAAAAAGGGCATCTTTAGGATGATCAGTCAAAAAAGGAAGCAGCTTTTGGCCAGAAATCAGAATGCTCTCCGACCCCATTTCCCATGTTCTCATTTAAGTTGTGGTGAAGAACAACCAAAAAGGAAGCAGCAATAGAAGGATCCATGGAATAGGCACATATCCGGCAAAGAGGCAAAAGATCAAGAGGGCAACAACACAAATCCGGCAACAAATCAAACCAGGGACAGGATCGCAGCAGCAGACAGTGCATGGAGAGGGAACGGAATGTTTCATTCATGATTCATCAAGGGAAGCACCGCACAGGCACATACCGGTTGCGTTTGGGCGGCGCGCGCCGGCGAGGCCCCGGCCGCCATCATCCGCTCGGCGTGGCGCAGCCTCCAGAGGCCGGCGGCGAGGGCCCTGGCGGAGGCGGAGGCGCTTCCCCTGACAGAGGCAGAGGCGGCATTGCGGGGACGCCTCCTCTGGGAGGTCCGGCGGCGAGGGGTGGCGGAGGAGGGGATCATGGGACGACCATGGTCATGGCCTGCCGCGCCGCATGGAGGGAGAAGAGAGAGAAAGAGAGGTTCGTTGGTTGGAGGGAGTATTATTTATTGATGGCAATCTGATGTGGTTGGTTTGCATGCGTATGTGACTTGTCATGTGAGGCAATGAGACCCAGCGCCGCATCACGAGGAATCCCATCGCAATCGCCATCGCCAAGGGGAGAAGAACTATTCCAGGAGAGAGAGAGAGAGAGAGAGGAGACATTAAGAAGGGAGATTAGAATAGATGATGATAGGAGGGATAGATCTCTCTCGCGCGTTGATAAGACGATCCAGTGACTGCTGTTGCTATGGGTGATTGCAGCGACAGACTTGGTTGGATGGATGCGTGGAAACTGTACCAAACCAACGTCGGATTTGGATGCATTCGTCTGTCCTCCAAGCCATGCAGTGGTGGAGGGACCCCCAAAACAGAGAAAAAAATTATTCCAATCAGGCTGTAGTACTGTCAAGCAAACTGATCTGATATGAAATTTGGAGGGCATTGGGGCAATGAGTAAGGCTGAATTCTAGCTCAAAACAACAAGGTTTCTCCCATGATGACATATACCCCTCTATATATTTGAATGTAAGGATGATGCCATGAATCCAAGAATAAAAAAAGTTACTTTACCTCTTTGGGTGTGCTGCTGACCTATATTATTCTAGAGCTGGCAAATCACTAATATAAGGCCATGAATTATTATTATTTATCTTGGTGGATCACATGCGCAAGTGCCGAACGTAGGGGAGAAAATAAAAATTTAGCACCCTCGCTATATATACATGTCATTCTCTAGCTAGCTCGGCTAGCTTAACTGAACACTAAAATTGCTCTAGTATAGTACTAGGATCAACTGGGGATGAGGAGGTTTGTACGAGAGGAACGAATGATGTGAGTTGTGGACGGATCCAAGGAGTTGATGTTGGCCTTGAGGGGTACATCCACATCACAGGGAAATGTGGCTGCTGATTAATCTATCACTACTACTATCTGAAACCACAAATGGAACATGGTATTTTAAACAAGTTTTTGTACCTCTGAATATCAACAGCTTCCATTGCAAGCATGAGTAATTTTGTCTTGAAATGCTACGTCTTGAAGACAGCGAAGATGTACCCTGTACAAAAGTTGAATGACTAAATAACCTGTGATAGCAGTAACTATCGTGAAGCTCCCAACAGATGAGCCCTCCCTCTATTCTTGGTTAGATTACAGATATATATACTTACATATATGTAGCAGTACTTGTAAGGTGGCTGCCGGCAGTTAGCTGTTGGTGGCTCCTCACTGTTCAGCTGTTGGCAACTTGGGCATTTCCTCTCCATTTCATTAGAAATTAGAATTAGAATGGTCTGGCCCCCCTCCTCTCCTCTCCCCCAGGTGGGTTTCCAGATGTTGGTTGGTCCTGCAACAATTCAAATACAATACAATACAGGAATCAGGACATATACGCTTCTTTAGTTTACTGCTTCTGTATGATAAGACATGCCAACTCCCTGTTAAACAACCTCTAGATGTCTCTTAACTATATAATAATATATGCAAAAACAACGCAAAGGAATAGCCGTCTCCATTCCTCTCTTTTTTTTTTTTTTTTTAATAACAGTCTCCATTCCTCATTGTTCAGCTGTTGGCATTCCTCTTCATTTCTCTAGATGTTTACTGGTTCAATATTGAGACAGCACCGCAGCGGACCCCAACAGCATTCAGACATTCAAATGATTCAATACACGCACAGCAAACATAACCAACTGATTTCAGTTCAGATAGACCAGAGCCTGAATAATTAAGTAACCAATTATTCGGAGCAACATAGCACCGTTCAGTACAGGAATCATGCATAACCATTTTGTGCCATGAGGAGAAGACACCAAGCTAAAATAAAACTAGACAATATGTAATGTTGAAGGGCATCAAATGATCCGTCTATCAAACTTACTTCTAGGGCATCAATATCAAACGGACAAGCACATCAATTAAACAAGGGTAAAGTACACTTTTCAACCCTCAACTCACGCCGAAGTTCGATTTTCAACCTTCAACTATGAAACCGGTCAAGAAACACCCTCCAACTATCAAAACCGGACAAATTTGGTCTATCGCGGCTGATTTTGTTGATCTCGGTTTTCTATTTTGAGAGAAGCGCGAAAACAATTATATTATTATTTTTTTCAAAATCTTAACGTCCTCAAATAAAAAAAACTCAAAACTATAAAGTTATATAAATCTCATTAAGATCTACAACTTTATAGTTTTAATTTTTTTCATTTCAACTCCATACAAAAAATATATTAAAATTTCTCTAATAATCGCGCTACTAGCGCCGATTATTATGGTTTTGAAATTTTATATATTATTTGTATCTTACTGTTAAATGAAAAAATTTTTTATACCAAAGGTGTAGCTCATCAACTAGATATACAACTTTCTTCAGTTTTTGAGTTTTTTATTTTTTGACGGAAGATGCTCAAAAAATAATATAAAATTTTGGTGCTCTCCCAAAATAAAAAAATATTTTGAAACCAAAATTTTTTGCCAAATTTGTCCGGTTTTAATAGTTAGAGGGTGTTTCTTGACTGGTTTCATAGTTGAAGGTTGAAAATCGAACTTCAGCGCGAGTTGAGGGTTGGAAAGTGTACTTTACCCATTAAACAATAAACATTGTGTTAAACAATGCTGGAATCCATCCCAGTGTAGCTCTCCACCAGACAACAAAATTCCATTCCACCAAATCCTCATGTGCATTTCACATCTTTTGAAACACTGACGTTCTTTCTCGCTATACAAATGAATATAAATTATTACTATCATTATATTATATTATATATGCCTTACAACAAATTACACTAATTGCTACCAGGAGATTCAAAAAATAAAACACATGTGAACCTACAACACTTTGATGCGACCATGAGATCGCAAAAACTCAGCACTTCACTGACACTTCCAGTTAGCTCTCCTGAATAAATCATCTCCATAATAGGGCAACTGGACCTTGCTAAACTTGTACCAAGAGCACCAGAAGAAGGGAGACCAAGGAAGCAAGGAGTCTTAGCTTCAGGTTCTTGTGGTTCACGCCTGCAAAAAGGAACTCTCAGATCTTCTTGTACCTTGCCTAAACAGGGAAGTTTCATCTTGTCCTTGAGAATTAGACATATACACCAGAGATCAAAGCATAACTGAGAGAGGAGAACTAACTCCAGTTTTCTCACCATTTTGTGCCGATGTCACGGCAGGTCGCTCTGGGATATTGACAGCTGCATACAAAAGCACCAAAAGTTACAGCAGAGAGCAGACTAACATGAAAAAAAAAGCAGACACATCCAAGCACCACAGGAGGTCCATGACACAATATAGATGGAAAGTCTTATATTTAAGCAATTAATATGTCACAAGTACTTGCCTGTGCAGCTAGGCAACACCACAACAGTGCTTTAAATTCAAGATGGAAGAGTTGGGGGGTACAAGCAATTTTTACAATCTCATAGTTTATTGTTAAAAGAAATTCATACGACTAGTTATCTAATGACGAGTCTCTGTGTCGACTAGTTCAAATACATTAAAAACTGTCCTTAAGACAAGACAGAAGACTAATACGACAAGAAATTGAGCAAATAGTGAAACAAACATGGGGTATAACCCCGCAAGCAGAAAGAAAGGTGTATATTGAATCACTGAACCTGCTTCTACAACAAAATCATACATTCAGGCATCATCAGAGACAGTTTCAGCATAAATGGGGTGAAATAATCTAGTGGAATACAACAGAAGGCTTCAACTTTTAACTTATGATTTTTAAATGTACAGAGTAATGTACCAAATAGCATTTAAGAGAAAACCTGAAGAAGTTGATGCTCATGTAAACAGAATTGTTAAAGAACAAATTATGTTCAGCACGGCAAGTAGATAGCATACACTTGTTGCACGATGAAGATGGTGCTTGCATAGAAGATGGCCATGGGGCCGCAATGTTGTCATTCAGATCACATGTGAAGCTAATCCCAGAAGTGCTGTCGAAAGATGCATCAGAGGGCATATTTGGAAGGAGGCATCCAGATTCTGTGTAAAACAACGAGACCAATCACTACTAAAGAATAAAATCAGTTTCTTTTGGGTACAGCTATAACATTAATGATGTGAGCTCTAATCTAATAAGTTTGAGCATAAGTTATTTTATAACAATTAGGCAATATTGAAGAGTTAATCTGTCAGCTAGGCAGACAAAACATAAACCTACAAAGCCAGATTACAGAAGCAATTTCTCAACCAAACAAGGTGGTCAATAATAGATGTGCTTAGAATTCCAGATTCTACATGTAGTTCCATTATACACAATTTTGCACCCTTCATTCTCCTAGGACTAACTGATGCTACTTATTTGGCAATTCACTGAGAACAACTTCACATTATGTGCATGGTCCAACCATCCAAGATGATTTTCCCAATTAGGGCCTGTTTGTAGGAGTGGGATCCCTCAAGGAAATTTTGAGCTGTATAAACTGCTAGTCACCATTTCCAAAAAAGCCCCTACTAGGTTCCTGTACTTGGATATAAAAAACCATTTCAAAAGGCAGATCCATCCAATAGTTCCTGTACTTACTTCTACTTTGAAGATAGAACATAATGTAAACCATTGCAAAAACTAAACAAAAAGTTCAAAAATGCAAATTCTTGACCCCTGGCTCCAATTATAGTATATAGTACATCAGATAACATCTAGCACATATTGTTTTCAAGCACTAATGCGGCCGGCAAGACATGTACAATCAATTGCATTTTGGTAGGAATATGGTACGTAGTCTCAGCTTAACCAGAGCATAGCATGCCATACAAAAAATGATTTACAACAGACACCATTAGAACAAACTAATAAAAAAACTTGAAAATGTTAGCTTACCTTGAGATCCAACTGTTTGCAAATCCAGTAGGGGCCAGTCATTCAAACACAACGGTTGAAAAGGTAAATAAATACTTCATCAGTTCAGTTGCCAAGAAATGCAGAGCCAGAAGATAAATATGGCCCTTATGCATAATCAATTGATAGTTCTTGAATAACTTACCTTGAAGTGAAAAATCTTTTAGTGTTATTTGACAAGAGCTATAGACATTCATGCTGACATTCATCTTTTCCAACTTTGCCCCAAGGAAAGAGGCACAATTTAAAGCTTGCAGGTTTGTTATGAAGCTTTGCTTTTGCAAATGGGCTACATAAGTTAACATAGCCTTGCAACATGCAGTACTGTTCTTCATTGTTCCACCACACTCTTTTGCCACCTTACTTGTGTCTGGAAAGCTTAGCGGACAAACTGGAGGGATGGAGTAAGAACAGGTTGCTCAGTATAAAAACTATTAGCGCTGAACAAGTAGAATAGAACTCAAAATGTAGTGAAGTATTTTAAATTGTTATTAAAGAATTAATAAAAACATATATAGTTATATACATGTATTCCACCAGGTTCACTAAAACCTAAGTCCAATAAACTTTTGAAATTCAGCACCTGCACAATTATGGCTACTCAAATGTTCAATAACCTTTTGCCTCCAATAAATGTGCCAAAGCTTTTGTTCTTTAATCGAAATCATATATATTTCAGTACTATGTAATATGTATGGCACCTAATACCTTAGTGGCATATTGCTGATCTGAACACTTGAAGTCAAAACCCTGCATTGGACTCCTACTGAGTTTGACACTACCAATTTCAAACAGCATGAAAGAGTTCTAAATATTGCATATGGCAAAAGAAAAATTCAGACAGCTTTATATGGATTATTGAAGCTCTTGCTAAAAAAAACTCAACCTGAGGGGGTAATACAGCCCCTGGGCATTCTTTAGCCAAAAAGAAAAGCATAATGCCATTAAAGTTCAATTATCTGGCTTCAGCATTTCCTTTCCTTTATAGACCTGAAAATTTTGACCTCTTCCACTCTAGTCCATGCTTCAAGTTCAACCATTTTGGTGCTTGTGCAGTGTGCTCTGGCTTTAACTAAATTATGAACTCAACATTTGGATGTAAACTGTTTTCTAGTGCATAAATTCAGGAAAATCAACCTGCTTGGTAAAAGAGGCCAATAACATGATGAGTCAATGAAATGTTACATGAACATGGTCTGCAACATCTAGTATCTTAGAAGGTGTGGTCCATTTTAACTATTATAGAGGTAGTACTAACCAAGGACTAAGCTACGAAATTGTTAAAATTGTAAGTGAACTATAACAGAAGCAGGGATTATATATGTAATCACAACAACAACAACAACAACGCCTTTAAGTCCCAAACAAGTTGGGGTAGGCTAGAGTTGAAACCCAGCAGAAGCAATCAAGGTTCAGGCACGTAAATAACTGTCTTCCAAGCACTCATATCTAAGGCTAAGTCTTTGGGTATATTCCATCCTTTCAAGTCTCCTTCTATTGCCTCTACCCAAGTCAACTTCGGTCTTCATCTACCTCTCTTCACGTTACTATCCTGGCTTAGGATTCCACTGCGCACCGGTGTCTCTGGAGGTCTCCGTTGGACATGTCCAAACCATCTCAACCGATGTTGGATAAGCTTTTCTTCTTGTATGACCGTAAATCCAACGCAACATACGTACTTCCGTGACACTTATCTGTTGAACATGTCGTCTTTTCGTAGGCCAACATTCTGCACCATACAACATAGCAGGTCTAATCGCCGTCCTATAAAACTTGCCTTTTAGGTTCTGTGGTACCCTTTTATCACATAGAACACAAGATGCTTGGCGCCACTTCATCCACCCTGCTTTGATTCTATGGCTAACATCTTCATCAATATCCCGTCTCTCTGTAGCATTGATCCTAAATATCGAAAGGTATGCTTCCTAGGCACTACTTGACCTTCCAAACTAATATCTTCCTCCTCCCGAATAGTAGTGCCGAAGTCACATCTCATATACTCAGTTTTAGTTCTACTAAGTCTAAAATCTTTAGACTCCAAAGTCTCCCGCCATAACTCCAGTTTCTGATTCACTCCTATCCGGCTTTCATCAACTAGCACTACATCGTCCGCGAAAAGCATACACCAAGGGATTATATATGTATTCATTCTAACAAAATAGAATGCAATAACTTAAGACATGGAAATCACATTCGAATTAGTTAGAGAGAATTATTTATTTGGCACTAAAAAAATCGCTCTTGCTCCTAAGGCACTAAAAAAAATAAAGTTCCTTATTTAGCACCGAATTAAAAATTCCTTCCCTAAATAACACTACAGTCAATTTTCTCTATTAACAGTGTTAAGTGGTGTCCAAAATGACCTATATACCCCTCTTTATATCAAAAAATATATGGTGTCATATAAGAAAAACATGAATGTTCTTGTTGTCAAATAAAGAAGATATAAGTGGTAATATCAGAAATATAATTGTGAAGTAAAACATGATTTTTTTATAAATGAAGACTATTCAATTGTATTACTACATGGTATATGACTGTATGAGCTCCTTATATTGTATAAAGATATATTGAACAATGAGATAATAAAAAACATATATTAAAATCCATTGCTTTATTAATATGATTTCAACTGTATTACAAAAGAAGACATCTCATAAATATGTCATATACAGAGTGAGCATATACAAATCAAAATAAAAGAAAATCTATAAACAATAAGCTATCTATATGACGACAATTCTAGCTCTTGTACCAATCTTCCAAAATCGTATCTTCTTGCCTTAGAAGCTATCAAAAATAAGAAATATTCAACTGAGAACTGACTTTCAACCTGCAGGTAACGTGAACCATCATCCACGGATCCATCCATTCGGATCAAACAGAGGGAAGGGGAGGGTGGGCAACAAGGCAGGTACCTCGCGCTGGGGAATCCTAGGACAGATTAATAGGAGCAGGCGGCGGCCTGACCCCTTCTTGGTTCTCGCCAGTGTGCCACCACCACACCGACCTCGCGCTGGGGAATCCTAGGACAGATCCGCGTCAGGAACAGGACCGGCTGGCCGCGTCCTCTCGCCTCGCGCGAGCGCTCCAGGGCGCCGCTGGGACCCGGGAGATGCCCCCTCCGCCCATCTTATCTTCTTCCCCACCCGCGAGATCGGCCTCCATTCATTTAGGGATTGGAGAGATTTTTTTTTTGTCAGAGGAAGAAGAGAGACAGGCTCAGAGCCCCGAGCGCGACCCCTCGTTGAGGGGAGAAAAGGGGGGCGACGGTGACCGATTATTTGGCCAGGGGCATTTTGGTCCCCTTCAAAATTACTGACACAGTGAAACAAGTCGACTAACAAATGTATAGAGAAAATAGACGGTAGTGCTATTTAGGTAACGAATTTTCAACTCGGTGCTAGATAAGGAACTTCAATTTTTTTTATGCCTTAGAAGGAAGAGCGATTTTTTTCCGTGCCAAATAGATAATTCTCTCAATTAGTTATTATAGTTTGGAAGTACCTCCATTGACATTACAGTTAGATATCTGCCTCAACATTTCCTTCGCGGACTGTGGGTCAAGCCTGCTTGACAACCATCTCAGAACAACGTTCCTGCAACTGTCAATCTTGGGGCTCCCAGGGTAGCTCGTCAAACCTCCATCCTTGGACGAGATTTTCTGGGCAGCTTCATTTATCGCATTCTGACATGTCTGGCTACAGCAGTCATTAACAGAGTCGATCTTCCGACAGGCCTCAAGGAGCTTGGACGAATCGACGACACTCTCAAACGAATCCACAGTGCTAACAGGGCAGGATCCCTCGGTTACATTCGAGAGGTGAACCGAGCAGAGGCTGTGGAGATTGTCGCTGGCACCTTGGCTCAACAACAGCTCCTGGACATCCGACAGGCAGTAGTTGGCTACCGTGGGATCCAATGCGAGAGAGCCTGTCTGCTTGCTAGACTGCCCTATGAGGATGGTCAGTGTTGCCTGAAGCTGGGGGCAGCAGATGACATTGGCCAAGAAATGAGCAAACGAGGTGAAGCAGTCGACAGCCGTGGTGGTCATGAGTTTGTCGACAGCGGTAAAGTTCAGTGTGCATTTCCCTGCAAAGCGTTAAGGAAATCGACAGGCACTTTCAGTTGGCAGGCCACACTTGCATCTTGTTTAGTTGTAAACCAATTGCACGTACGCACTAACTTTTGAGCTTCCCCAACCATAATAACGAAGCTTGAAAAGAAAGGAAAAGTTAGATTAGTGACAGAGAGTGCAACCTGAGAGCTTTGGCGTGCTGTTGTTAAAGAAGGGCGCGAGTGGAGCGGGCGCCAGGAAGGGAACCAATGGCCTGGGGGAGCCGCTGGGTGAGAGGTCCGGCATGGGCATGAGGCCGCTGGGCGGGAGCTCCGGCATGAGGCCGCCGCCGTCATTTGCCTCTACGCGAACGATCCGGTGAAGCGGCGGCTGGCTCTGAGCAAATGCGCTGCCTGAATCTCCCGACAGCCCCTGCAAACCTGCACATTATCAAGCGAAGAGCACAAATCAGCGGGCTTTGTTGCTTGCAAGGAGAATTGACTCCCAGGCAGTGGGAGGTAAATTCAGGAGGCAGCCGTAGCAGCCTCCCTGCGCCTGACAGATCAAAACCAACAAAGCACAGCGCAGGGAACGGAGGATCATCCGGGAGCGAGAAGAAGCAAGAATCCAGGGCCCCGCATAGCTGCTGGAATTCGCATTTTGGGGAAAAAAAAAAGGAAAATAGGAGCAGGGAAGGGAAAGAATCAGAAGCTGAGGCAGAGGCAGATCACGAGGAGGTAGGCACTCACAGAGGAAGGAGAGGGCGGCTACCGCGAGGAGCCGCCCGGTGGGCGCCATAGGGTGCCGTGGCAGCCGGCAGCAGTGAGCGGCGGCGAAGCGGAAGGGGAAAAGAAGGGGAGGGGGCGACGGCCGCGTTCGGCTGGCTGGCCGACTGGGACTGGGGCTGGCTAGCGCGCTCACACGTTCATATAAACAGTGTTTTCGGCCTGAACAATATTTTAGTTTATTTTTTTGAGTCCTGTCGAACAAGCTCGCTTTGGAAGGGGGAAGCAGGAGCACTACGAAATTGTTTAGTACACCCGGAGAAATAGCACGTCTCATCTCGTCTCGTCTCGTCTCGTCTCTTCTCTTCTCTTCTCTTTCTTTCTTTGACCCCGCCTCTTTCTTTTTTAGTCTTTCTTTCCTTCCAAAAGAAAAAGATGGCTATATATAAATACTACTACTAGTAGAAGTTCAAAGTACGAGTAAACACTAAGTCAAATTTGGTTTTAAAAGCTCCAAAGAATGTTAGAGATAATGCGAAAAATCTAATAATTAATATATTGAAATTGAATGTTGCAATATTGTTCATGTTTATCCGAGGTCGAGGGGGTGCAGCCAGCCCATTGAAATGACGACACATGACAACAATAGCTTTTTTTAAGTCGCAAAGAAAACAATAGCTTTTTATAATTTCCTTTGCAAAATAGTATTTATAAGTGAAGATTTGTCACGGTTTAGTGGAGATGACATCAATAACTTCTGAATATAGATTTGCCCCTGCTTATCCGTAATATATACGCCTCAACGTAAATCACGGGTTGCATAAGATGTTGGTTTGCCTCTGAACCTAGATGCCAGAATGAAAAAGGGAGAACCTCATTATTATTGCTGTAAAATGGCATGGCAGCGGTTGTAGTTATAATTATTACATTATGATGATAGTTTGTGTGAGTGATATAAGCGTATCCGTGTTGAGAAATACTCAATAGCATTGGTGTACATGTGTGGAGGTGGGCGTAGCAAGGGACTGATGGGGGGCGCTCAGAAATTGATGGCGGCCCAGCCCATTTAATACGCCACGTTAACGCCCTTCATTCAATCCAGCCCCTTGCCACCCTATGCGGCAGCGGTATAGATGGCCAACGGGCTGGCCCGGTACGGCCTGACACGGACCGTGCCAGGCATGGCCCGAAGAGGGTTGAGCCAGCACGGCACGCCATGCCACCCGGGCCATGCCGATGAGGGCATCGTGCATGACCAACGGCCCAGGCACGACCTGCTGGGTCATTTTTCGGGCCAGACCAACCCGAGAAGCACAACCCATTCAGCGTGCCGGGCCAGCCCCGGGCCCACGACGAATTGCGAGCAGCCAGAGAGAGGGGGAAGGGGAGGAAGCGTGAGCGACCAGCCGGAGATCGTGGCGTCGGGGGGGAGCTCGTCGCCGGATCTAGCGTCGGGGCGGAGCTTGGGGCCAGCGCGCTCATTCCCACGGCGGCCGAGGCTGGTTCCCGGCGGCGTCGCTCGAGGAGAGGGAGGGGACATCGGCGTCCGCGCACGGCTGTCGGCCGTCGGCGGCGGCGTTACGAGCGAGGAGGTAGCGCCATGCGGCGTCGCGAGCCGGAGGGGACGGGGAAGAAGGAGCGGCGTGCGATGAGGAGTCACGTGGGGAGGCATGGCTGAGGGGAGGAGTCACGGGAGGAAAGCGGCGTGGACGCGCGATGCGAGCCGCGACTCACGGCGAGGTCGTGAGCCGGGCGGCGGGGGGGGGGTTGGGACAGTTAGGGTTATAGTGTGCACAGGAGTACAAGACTTGGGCTCTTAGCAGGCCAGGCCAGGATGGTTAGCTGGCCTGCCACTAAAATGCGTGCCGTGCCATGCCAGCCCATGTAACTAGGGTGTGGCCCAAGCACGGCCCTATGCATCGGGCCGTGCTGGCCCGGGCCCGCACAATACCGGCCCGTGTCGTGCTTGGGCTGGGCCAAAAAACCGTACTTCGGGCCGTATCATCCGGCTACGGGCTGCAAGGAGGCAGTGGTACTCCTACGTCTACATGCCTCGCTCTGCTAAAAAAACATCTACATGCCTCGCTGACAAGTGGGACCTGCCCCTCCCACCAGTCAGGTAGCTGACGGATCCGGCATAGTAACTCTATTCTGCCCCCACCCCCTCAACTATCTCACTGACCGGTGGGACCGGATGCTGGGGCACCGGTGGGCCCGTTCTGTCACTGCGATTGCCTCGTGGTGGGAGTGCGTGGTAATAAGATCATTTGCGACAAGAGAAAATCAGGAGTCAACATTAGCGTGCTTGAGTGACAAGAGAAAATTGTCGACGCACGGCGATCCATACTGTCGGTACAGAAAGTGACCAACTAGTGAATATTTGTAGTTTTGCTGTATGTTGTGATTGGAGGTGGCCTATCACTCAATGACATAGGATATATACTGGTTAAGGCAACGTGTCATACATCCAGTCTGGGTCGGTTGGTGACTTTATTCCTAAGCCCAGGTGCTCGAAGTCTGTAGTGGGGTTACAAAACGAGAAGGAGAAATGAGGGGTGTACAAGAGGTCCGGTCGGTCCGACCGGAAGGGCTGAGGGCGACCGGAACTCTGCTATGAGCTAGGTATTCAAGCGTGTGTTTGAGATGTTGCGAGCTATCGGTCTAGTGAATCTAAACTCGAAGAAGATCGTCCTCCTGTTGGAGGGAGCGCATCCCCTTTTATAGAAGATGGGGATGGCTTTATAGGTGAGAGGGAGAGAGTATGGATGTTACGAAGTCTTGATGCCCACGCCGATGAGGAATTGATAATGGTAGGCACCAACAACACTGTTAATGTTGCTGTAGAATGTCAGGTGCACGTGGGAGGTTGCGGTGGCTTCTTCAGGAAGGGTGGACATCGGTACCTGCAAAATACTGTTGGTGTGTGGGGAGCCCCACCACGTGTACCAGGTATGGTGGATCCTGGCGCCCCCTATCGATGCCCAGAGGCATGGGGGGCCTTTTGCCATATGGGAGCCCAACGATGCCCGTAATACTATAGACACAAATGTCGGTGCCTATAATACTGCTTGTGTCAGGGTGGTCATGGAGCACTGTTTCCACAGGCGTACAGGGTATGGTCCCGGTATTGTGGTTTGACTTAGTGTGCTGCCTTCTCCGTTCGCCCCTGGTCCCTTCCGAGCGGACGTCCCCGGTCGGATGGCTCTAGTCAGCCCTGGCCGCGCCAGTCGGAGAAGAGCGGTACGCAGGCTTACTACAGGTCCCCAGTTGGAGTCACGGGGTCAGAGTAGGAAGCAGCATTTTGGGCCAGTCCTTCCGATTGGAGAGACCGCCTGGAGGTGGCTGGTGCTCGAAGCGAGCGCTCTGGTCGGAGGTGGGCCGAAGGAGTTAATGAGCGGGCGTTTGTTCTTTCGGGCAGATCTCCTGGTCGGCGACCGGGCTGTCCTTTTGGCCCGTCGTATTCTTAGACCTTCGGGCCGGCCCATGAACAACATGCTGTTTTCTTGGGCCGAGTCCTGGCGTGGAAGCCGGTCCCTGAGGTACCCCGAGTTTGTGAACACGACAGGAGCCTCCGAGCCCCCGGGCGATTCGAGAAGAATCGTCCGAGGGATTTTTTGTCTTGCCGACGGGTGCGCTCGAGCGCACACGCGGGTGTAGCCCCCGAACCCCCGGGCGGTTTGAGCAGAACCGGCTGGGGGGGTTTTCTGTGTTGTCAGCGGGAGAGGTTTTTGCGTTGTGTCGGCGGGTGCGCGCAAGTGCACCCGCGGGTGTAGCCCCTGAGCCCCTAGGCGGTTCGGGCAGAACCGGCTGAGGGGTTTTCTGTGTTGTCAGCGGGAGAGGTTTTTTGCGTTGTGTTGGTGGGTGCGCGCGAGCGCACCCGCGGGTGTAGCCCCCGGGCGGTTCGGGCCGAACCGTCAGGGGGGTGTTTGTTTCACCGGGCGTGTGTGAGTGTTTTTAGTTTGAGACGGAACTTTGTTTAGCCGTGGTGTCATTGCGCAGCCGAGGTGGTTTTTAGGCGCAGGGATGAGAACTTACTGATCTTGGCGTCGGTGCGCGCCGCGGATGGAGATAGCCTGGTTTGGATGTGACAGAGCTCACTGATCTTTGGCGTTGATGCGTGCTGTGGGATCGGGCGAGGCGGAGCCGCGAGCGGACCCAGGCGTCGGTGCGCGCCGTGGATCAAGAGAGTTAGTTTAGTTAGTTCAGGAATCGTACGAGCCGGAGCTCGCGGATCCTGGGAGCGCAGTCAGAAGTGAAGCCGTTACGCGAGTTTAGGAGTCACGGTCCTAGGTTTTATTGGAGTGCAGTGAAGCCGTTTGTAGCCGTTACGCGAGTTTAGGAGTCGCGGTCCTAGGAGGCATAGCCGGATGTCATAGATCCTGTTGATGTGAGTTCAGAGTCATGGTCCTAAGAGCCGTAGCCGGATGTCATAGATCATGTCGACGTGAGTTCGGAGTCGCAGTCCCAAAGGTTTTATTGGAGCACAGTCGGAAGTGAAGTCATTTTTGAAGCCGAGGCGTAGTTAGTTTGGTTAAAGATCAGACGAGGCGATGCTCGCGGATCCTGGCGTCGGTGCACGCCGCAGGACTGGGCGAGTCGGAGTCGTGGATCTGGCGAGTTCAAGGTCACCGTCCTTGGCATTTTTATCTTGAGCCCCCGAGCCCTATCGGGCTTTTCGTGGGGGTCGATGTGAGTATTGTGCGTTACCCCATCCTTGGATCCTCACAACCGGAGGGGCTGAGTTTCATCGCCTATCCCGATCGCTCGGGCTCGAATACTAGCTCGGTGAGTTCGCTAACAGGTGTGATCGAGTGGAATCCGGGTCTGTCATTTGTGATGGGGTCGGCATAGCCCTCTTGTGACATTCCACTACTCCTTTACCTACGACCCGATAGATGCCTAGGTCGTTCCGGAGATCGACCCGGGTGGCCTATCGACCTCCCCTCGATGGGGATTCTGTGGGCCTGGCGAGAGGTTTAGGATCAAACGAGAAGGTTAAGATGACCCAGTCTGCTGGACCAGGCTAGGGCCGCACGGTGCTCATCTACGGTATTCTCCCCTGGCTCTATTAGT